CTTTTTTGCAATCCATCATGGAACCTCAACAAGACCAAAACCAACAATACCCACCTAATGAAGATAGTAGTGGCAGCAGTAGCAAAGGTGGAAGCTATCCGTGCAGGCAAAGCAGTACACGGTGGACTCCCACCACTGACCAGATTAGGATACTCAAAGACCTTTACTACAACAATGGAGTTAGGTCCCCAAGTGCTGAGCAGATTCAGAGGATCTCTGCTAGGTTGAGACAGTACGGCAAGATTGAAGGCAAAAATGTCTTTTATTGGTTTCAGAACCACAAAGCTCGTGAGAGACAGAAGAAAAGGTTCACCACTTCCTCTGATGTCCCCATGCAAAGATCCTCAGTCCCAAATTCTCCCTGGAAAGCTGAGGATCCCCTTATCCATAGCAACAAGTTTCCCAGCATAACCCATCCTGGTCTTCTCTAATTTCCCTTTAACTCCCTCTTCTCCCTTACATATATAACGCTCCATCTTTTTCCTTACATGGGTGTTTGTGATTTTCAATTTTTCAGGGTATTCTCCTGCATCTTCTTCCTCAGCTGGAGTCCTTCCTGTGCCGCAGATGGGAAATTATGGGTATGGATCTTTGAACATGGAGAAGAGTTTTAGGGTAAGTGATCATAGTTACTTTAAGGGAAAAGGTACCACCTTTGAAACAATTTTAGAAACGGAAGACATTAACCAATTTACATAAACCAAAAAAAAAAAAAAAAATTAAAAAGTTAGACCCAATCACCCAAGTGATTGTATTGGAAAGTACTCTGTCGAAACATAAAAAAACAAGGGGACATAAAAAGACTAGACTTTGATCTTATGAAATATCTATTAACAGAAAGAACCCATTTTTAGTTTTGTTCTTGTTAAAACTCCAAACACAAAGCAATTTTTTTTTTCTTGATCCAGGATTGTTCAATATCCTCCAGTGGAACCAGAAATGGAGTATCCATTAGCCACGGATGGGTTGGGATCGACCCATATTATTCTTCCTGTAGTTTTTTTGATAAAAGAAAGTCATCATATGGAACCCTGGAACAAGAACAAGAAGATGATGAAGTAGAAGCTGGTTTGCAGATTGAAACACTCCCTCTGTTCCCCATCCATGGAGAAGGTATGAATGGGTTTTGCAGCGTTAAGAACGACCCTGACAGCTTCTGTGGCTACCCCGGTAGCTGGTACAGGGCTGATGACGGCGGCAACAGTGGTGCTTCTCGTGCTTCACTTGAGCTCAGCCTCAACTCCTACAGATCACAAGATTCCATCTGAACATTCCCCTCCTCGTATTAATTATGTTATGTCTGTTAATTAGTTGCTAATCATGGTTTTAATGTCCTAAAGTTAATGGTTTAGTTTAAGTGTAAAGTTGTTATGAACTTGACATGTGTCATGCAATGAAGTTAATTAATGGGTAATCATCTTTATTTTTCCGTCTTTGTCCAAGAATATTCTGTGACAACCAAGTGGATTAGGGATAAATCAAGTTAGTTTACACATTGCTTAGACTAGAAATTTTTAGAAGTAATACATTCCCTTTTCCCATCTCCCATTTCCCATTTCCCATTTCCGACCTCCCACCTGGTGGCTTTCTGCAACTATCATGATTTTCACACGTCTGTGTTATACAAAATCAGTTTTATCCAGTTCAAGGGGGAGGGGTAGGCGATGGTTTTCTGTCATTTTCACAAGCTTAATGATCTATCCACTTTCAAGAACCGAAAACGTTTGAAACTTTAAAGAACCAATGAATTATGGTTCTAAATAGGGGTGGAACCAAGATAAAATCCTTGATCTGTCTCGTAGAGCAATTTTCTCATGTTTTAATCATTTTTTCTAAATTTTTGTGAGGTTTAAGTTAGACCTATGCATAAGATAGGATAATTCTCATACTTCAGCCCTTTCTTTCTAACTATTACTTTGTTTTCTAAAACATAAGCACCCAACCCTAAGTCTTATCAGATTCACCTCTACTTGTGAAAGAGTGATATTGAACACAATTTTCTTCTTCTTCTTCTTCTTCTATTTCTAAAAAAAGTGCTCCTTCAAGAAACAGTGCCAAAACTTAAGCGGGTCATTAGACACTTTACAACAACTAGTTAAAGTATGTATTAATGTTAAATTTAGATTGGAGTTCTTTTTTTGCTATCTTATGAAGCTGCTATGTAGATGGGGAAGAAATAAAATTAAGGATATGCAAATGACAGCAGAAGAGATCATTCGCTGAAAAAGGTGGTGTTGAGTTAAAATGATGAAAAGTTATAACAACTGAGTGACATGTCCTAGCCGTTCTGGTGAAAGAAGGGAATATATTTTGAAGTTTGCAATTGCACCTTTCCTCCGGGTGTGGTTGGGAGCCCCTTTTATTTGTGAAGTTTACTCAAAAAATTGTTCATGTGGATTAATATTTTATTTATTTATAATTTTTTATTATATAATGTCTAATAATATTAACTTATAAAATAATTTTACTTTATTAAAGAATAAATATTAATTATTTTATTAATTAAACTAAATAAAATTATATAACTTTAACAAAAATAGTTGAAGGTTTCCTCTACACCTTTCTTCCCACGTTTAAAACACCAAAAAATTTATTCAATTGACCCTTCAAACTTGTAAATAGGGTCGGGCCTATTATTCTGTCCCTTTGGTCTGTTCCCTAAGGCCCACTTATTCTGTTTTGGGCATCGCATGTGTTTCCCAGTACATCTGGACGGCACAGAAAATGCATTTATTTCCTTTCGCTATTTGGTCATCAAACTTGCAGAAAGTCCTCAATTAAGCCCCCTAAAGTTTAAGTGTTCTCAATTTGATTAAGACGTTTCGAGAGGTGTCAAAAAGTATTCGAGATTAGATGCAACCATTTATAGGTTATTTGATGTGGTATTATGTTTTCACTAATAACGTGAAAATTTGCATAAAAATTTTTAAAAATATCCCTATTATTATATAAAATCTTATACAAATTAAGACTTAAAAATGATAAAAACAATAATTTTATATTTGTTATGAATTTTTTCAAACTAATGTTAAATAAAAATTAAAAGATCTCACTTAAGAGATATCTCAATAGTTAAAGTTGAGTAGTTCCATGATAAAAATTTTGAATTCAAAACTTGAAATATATGAAGAGAAGCTTGAGAATGGAAATGATTAATTGTGAGTTGAAAGAGGGTTCAATTGAAAATTAGTTGAAAGTTGAAGGAACAAAGTAGGGGTTTTCCTTACTTTTAGTAGTCCATTATGTAGGAGCAGATTCAGACAGTCTCTATCACCAAGATTTGGAGTCGATACATTTCCTTTATCTGGTTTGACACTTTTTCACAACATTATAGCATGAGACTGACCCCAGTGTGTTTTGGGGCATTGAAGCTTAAAGAGAGAAGACTGAATGAGAAACCCATCCTCAGGATATAAGAAGAAATTAGTAGTTGTAGATCCAAATAAGATAATAAAAGCTTTCAGAGACCACAAGTACGCAATGCCTGTTACCAGTAATAATGTGAGTCATGAATAGCATCATGCTTTTGAGTTTTTGGGGTATCCTGTTTTCGTGAAAGTGCTCCAATGGCTTGGACTAAGTTGGTTTGCTTTTCCATTTTGATGAATGCTGCTGTGCTTTATTTTGAAGTCTTTCCAAGGGACTCGTGTGCTTTATGCATAAATTGTTTTGTATGCATATGCACACATGGGGTTATTTTCCTGGGATATGGTTTTCACCTGCATTTTATATCCATTTGTTTGTTTGATGGTCCTGACATGAGAGCCCCATTCCATGCAGAGTTCTCTTGCGTAGGAGTAAATCGTGCCTAACTTATCTCTTTCAAGGACGGTAGGACCACAACTGCTGAAAATGTTGAATGATGTCAAAGGACTCTAAAGCCGGTTTCCTTTAGGCATCAAAACTGCATAATTCCATAAGTTCCAAATAAAAGAGTACTGAAGGTTTCTCTTCAATCTTACAATGTGTTTGGATTGAGGGGAAGGAAACAAAAACTATGAGATTTCATCCCATTAAGAGAAGGGAAGAGAAAGCAATTAACAGTGCAGATGGAAATTGTTTCATCAAAAATCCTCCTTTTGGCTGTCACGTGATAGATGTGTTCAGGCATACCACTTATTTTGTAGCAAAAGCAAGAAAAGGACTTTCTTGATGACACTCTTCTTTTGAGTGGTTGACTTGTAAGTTAGATGGTTGGAAGAATGCTAATTTAATAAAGAAATGTGTCTTAAACTAGATAATTAGTAAAAAAGAGATATTTTCATGCACAAATGAATTAAAAATAATGTTTTAGAAAACTATCAAGGACTTTCCACATTAAGAGTTAATCAAGTGTGTTTATTGATAAGAAAGATAGGCATACCACTAATGTAGACAATTAAAAAAAAACTAAAGATATAATAACTAAAAAACAAACGAAAGTTAAAAAGTACTACAAAACATAGATTGGACTAAATGGATGATAAATCTATGCATTAACTAAGAATTATGGAGACATACAAGAAAAGCTACAATATAGAGACAATAGAAACATAAAGAAGAGATAGAAGAAAATAGGAATTTTGAAGTATAAAAAGAAACATGATTTCATTCAGATAACTTGAAAATAATTATAAAACTTAAATCAACTGTAATATTAAATCTGAAATTTAATATTGATGGATTTGCAGACTAAGTTTATGAAAAAAACTTTAAAAGGTTAAAAATATACAATAATTACAATAAAAATATGAGAATATGTCTCTAATAGTAGAAACTAAGTGAGTTAGAATAAAACAACAAAAGCTAACCAGAAAACAAAATAAGATTTGGTCTCAATGCTTCAATCTATAAAACATGCTACAGATTTGCTTGGTTTTGAAAATTCTTGCATTGGGCAGAGCTCCAACAAAACAGAAAATTAAAACTAAAATTATGAATAAAAACAGGTTTTTGAATCACAATCTGGAAATCTACGCTGAAGACTGGATTAAAACTGATTTAGAGTTGAAATTGATGCGTGCTGGGTGTTCTTAATGGAGGGGCAAGCCTGAAAATCGATTTATGTCCATAGGTTTCCCAAATTTTCATGGTCGTTCCTGGATGTCTACCTTGTTCCACATCTTACAGCAATTATCCCTTGATTTTCTCCGCGTCTGGCAGTTTCCTACTCCAACATGATTTTCTTCTATTTAAACTCTATTACTTTCCCAATTCAAGTAAATCACATATTAATCTTATTAAATGGAAGAATTAACCACTGTGATCCTCTCCTTAAAAATTCTCCCTACTTCTTAATTTAAATAAAACTCAACAACCGAGCCCTTCAGGTCAAGTGGCAATAGCCACTAATGGTGCATTCCCCTCCCAGGGTTGGGGTTCGAACCCAACCCCTTGTAAAATCTGTTCAAAAAAAGAAAAAATAAAACTCAACAAATGATAAAATTTACACTATCATTTGCCATGTGGTGCTAGACCATCATGACACTTGCGGTCTAGACTGCAGAGAAATCAATTCTAGACTAGCTGTAAAATCTTAATAAGGTGGCAACTTTGGATTAAGTGTTATTTATGGTGTAAATAGAAATATTATAATAAACTAACAATTTAAATAATTTAATGGGTATCTCTTTCAGCTGAAAATAAAAAGTTCTACGTTCAAATCACATGACATGCGAGTGAAGTGAGACAAGGGATGAGAGATGATTATCTCTCATTGCGCAATCAAAACAAAAAATATATATATATATATATTATAATAATATTACGTTGCTTCACATAATCACATCCTCCACTTCCCCCCAGTAACGATAAATAGAAATACTTCTCTATTATTCCATATACCATAAATTGTATAAGTAGTATCATCCAGGTAAGTTATCAAGAGGAGCATTTACAATTTCTCAATTACAAGCTCCTTGGATTAACAGAAGTAACTCAGAAGGACCAAAGCAGATTGACCTTGATAGTTCCTCCGTTGAACATAGGTCAGAGAGCGAAAGAAACAGATAGGGGAGATTTGGTTCCCC